TTTTCTTTCGATGGCGGTAAACCTCATTTCACGAGGAAGAACGCCTTTTTTCGAAAGTGCTCTTTCGAAAAAAGGCGTTCTTGAATGCCAACAGGGCTTTTTAGAAAGAGAGCATCCAGACTCACTCGCTGCTTTCTTTCGAAAAAGCGGCTTGCTTTTTCGAAAGTTCCGCTTGCAGTCTAGACGCTCTTTTTCGAAAGAGGCTTTTTTGAAAGTATCTTTCGAAAAAGCCTCTTTCGAAAGAGGCTTGCAGTCTAGACATAGCCCAAGGCACTTTTCTTGGGCCCAGGAGGGCAGAGAAAGGAAGAAAGGGTGGGAAAATGCCTTAATTTTGATAGGATCTAAGAGGGCTCTTCAGTTTTAGATCTGGGTCCAATTCATAATGACATTCTTATTTTTTTTTCCTATTGTTTCAATCTGTCCAGTGGCAGTTACAGTAGCACCTAGAGACCCCACAGAGAGATTAGGGTCCCACGACATGATGGACAGGAGGAGTACTGCCCTTTTCTAAATATTCTGGGATTCAGTAACTAAATAGCCTGTTAAACCCAGAACAATGGATATCCAGGAAGTGTTGAGAGGGAGCCAGGAGAGTCAATGGGAAGAAAATGTGAGATTTGAATGGAAATCAGTGATGTGCCTGCTGCAGTTCTTTGTGTGGTTTTGGGAGAGAAAGCTGGGGAGAAATTGAATGAATCTGGGAAGCCAGACATGGAATGTCCAGCAATATTTATGTCTAAAACGAATGGAACAAGAAATGTGAGTAGACAGAGAATGTGTAGTTAGATACAATCAGGTTTTTTTTCTAGTTTGTGAACTCTGTGCTGAGCCCATGTACCCCTGCCCCTCCCCCCACACGCACATATGCGCACGCACACACACACACACGCGCACGCATGCACATATGCGCGCGCACACACACACACACACACACACACACACACACACAGACACAGAGTAACTGAAGCTAAACCCCAGGGAAGCAATTCTCTGTGTTTTAATCTGCTTTTCTCAGTTGCTCTAATACCTGGCAACCAAGTATGCTTTACCAAGTATGTCATTTTTGTTTTACTAATAAAATCATAGGAGGGTCTGTATGCATGTGCCTGAGAGGTCAACTATTAGAAATTACATTTTGTTTTCAAGCTATCTCCTGAGGAAGAGTAAAAGAACCAAGGGTACCCCACAGGAAGAAATTCCCAAGTAAGATTTCCTAGGTGCAGAAAAAGGGTTTTGCACTTAGGTGGTGGCAGTATGCCATACAAGATCAGAGAATCTGTGACCCTGGGGAGTTTTTCAGCAGAAGCCTATAGAGGCAAGGTATTTTTAAAATCTCTTGCAAACCCTCAACTTCTGCACTCAAAGTATTAGAGTAGGAAATAGCCTTGACACATGATACTACTAGACATTGTGGAAATAGACAGAACGTCAGAATTTTTTCTTCAAAATAATTTGTTTTCAGATTTTTGTTTTCATTCCATTTCAGAATGGGAAACAACTCCCCAAATTGCAGAATTTTCCACAAAACAAAAAAATCCTATTCTTGCTCAGCTTTGTCGGTCTTTGTTCTAAGAGCTCAGACTAGGAATCAGACAATACTTGTTAGGTGAATAAACAGAACTTAAGATGGTAGGCTAACAAGTCAACAAGCAAGATAGGTGTGATTGTATAAACTTAACAGTCACTGAGGTCTCATTCACAATTTCATGTGCTGAAATTTCCACAAACCCCAAGAATGTTAGCTATATTTTAAAAACAAAAATACATTTATTTCTTTTATAAATCAATTCTTCTGGCTCTTTAGATATTTTGTTGCTCTTCCCTAATCTCCCTTCTACTTGTCATTTTTTGTGATGATATACCTTTAGATAAATCCATATTGAAATGCTCAGAATTAAACTCAAATATTCTATGGCTCCTCCATCAAAAAAGGACTTTTAGCGCCATAACTCTTTCTCCATGACTTGATCAAATGCTCACAATAGCTCTTTTCACTCTGTTTGATTCTAAATTCCTGTCTGATTTTAGTCCCTTATCACTAAGACTACGTCTAGACTACATTATGTAAATTAGATATACAGACATAGTCAATAAAGTGGGATTTAAATATCCCCCGCTTCATTAGAATAAAAATGGCCACTGCATTGTGCCGGCTCAGCTGTTTGTCGGCACAAAGTGGCAATCAAGATGGGGATCGATCAGCAAGGAAAGCCTCTGTCGACCAATCCTGTAAACCTCGTTACACAAGGCATAAGGGATCATTCGGCAAAGGCTTTCCTTGCCGACCCATCCCCATCTTGATTGCCGCTTTGTGCTGACAAACAGCTGAGCCGGCACAATGCGGCAGCCATTTTTATTCTAATGAAGTGGGGGATATTTAAATCCCTGCTTCATTGGCTATGTCAGTATGTCTAATTTACATGCTTCTGTCGGCAGAGGCATGTAGTCTAGACATACCCTAACTCTAGGTTTCTTTTGTCATCACTTCTTTCTTGTTTTTTCCCACCTTCTCAATTGTGTTTGGATATATGTTGTATTGCAATACATTTGGATTATTGTTCTCTATATCTATTAACTTAAATTTTCTAAGCTGACTCTGTTCTTTTGCTGTCCCTTGCCCCCCATCAGATTAAACCATTTTCCTTCTTTCAATTACAAGTATTTTGGAGATGAGAAGAATTCAGCATCAGGAAGATTTGAGGTGTTTAAGTCACAGCATGTTGGTTTTCATTGCTATTTTGCTCATACTTTTGAGGAAACTTTAAGATTAGAGCCACTAAGAATGTGGAGTTAAAGTTGTTTCTCTCACTGTTTTTGGCTATTGGAATTTATAAACGAACTATGTTGTTCAGCATAGGTTCATGGGCAGAGAGATGGAACAAAGTGTTACCTACAAATATTAGAGGGGTTGGCAGTGGCAATGGTGCTCATAAGGATAACAGGAATCCTGGTTGATAGATAAATAACTTTACTATTTTTGTGACTCTGCCAGAGTAAATTGCAAGAACCATAAACAAAGGGAATGGAAATAGGCTTTACCTCTAAGTGCATAACACTCTATATTATGTCACTTACTCTGGCAGAGAAAATAGGAAGTCTGCTACTCAGATTTCTCAAGACATTAAACATATGGTAATTGTCTCAAATTTTGTTACTACAGCTCTGAATGCACTTCCATAACAACAATTAAACGCACTTCTTTCTTCTTTTGAAAGCATACCAAAAGGAGTTGTTTTAAGAACTTCTCCAGATTCCCTTTCATTACTTATGCAGAGAAGACAGGATATAAATGGCTGGATTTATACAGAAAATTCCTGCCTTGGCACTATTCTCTCTCTTATCTCAAGTTCCTCGGGTGAGTAAATGTTTTCAGGATCAGAATCCATGTTTGCTAAGTGACCCATAACAGAATGAGAATAAATAATATTAGGTTACATAGTTGAATATTCCATACATTTTCAAACACTTTCACTCTAACAAAGAACATTTTCATCTGAAGTCATTCTGCTGTAATTTAAAAATGTAATGTCTCATCTTTAGCATAAAACAAGTTTGTTAAAGAACAGCATTTTTATAAAAAAAAGATCCTCTTGACTACAGATATAAAAATGAAAACACTATGACCATTCTAATTTTCTTTCAAGTAATTACTCTATTCCTGCTCACTTTCAACTTTTAAGATAGTCAGAGCTTCAAAACTACAACTTCTAAAACCCATCTACTGCATCTGTTCACTGTGGTTACAATTCGTCTTTGATAAACTGATATCAAACATTCTATCTTTATTTGATCAAGCAGGAAGTAAGTGCTAATTTGAAACTGAGCTGATTTAGCAAGAGCTGCAAAAGAAATGCACATATAATGCAAGAGTTTAAAATACACATATTTCATACTTCTTTGACTTTCAAATGACTACCTTTCTTCCAAAGGTGTCATGCATCTATTCCAGCTGTTTTCTCCGTATGCAGAGATTATCTGTTCTATCTCAGAAATGTTACTCTTGGATCTGCAACGCAATGTTGACATCAGTTTGGCTCATGGAATGTTATCATTCCCCATTATAAACACATTTCATCTTTTTAAAAGTGTTCTAGTTTAAATGTTTCTTCAAAACAACAACAAATCTCAAATTCTTTCAAGTACAGTTTGGACCTCGCTGGTCCAGCATCCTCGGGATCTGACTGGTCCTAAACAAGGGGATTTGCCAGACCAGGGAAGGTTCCTCCCCTCATGGCAGTGCTGCCACCCAGCTCCAGCCTTGCCCTGCTGCTGCCTCAGCCCCCTGGGGCTCTCTCTGGCCCCGCTACCACCAGGGCCAGAGCACCGTGGCCAGAGCTGCACAGCTGGGGCAGAGCTCCGCAGCCGACTGGCTTTGTGGCTGGGGCTGGAGCTCTGCACCCGGGGCAGAGGAACAGGGCTGGAGCTCCGTGGCCTGAACCAGAGCTCCATGGCCTGAACCAGAGCTCCCTGGCTGCTGCTGGGCAGGAATTCCCTTGGCCACTGGATCCAGAATGCAGCTGGAGCTCCATGGCTGGGGATGGGGTCAGAGCTCCTTGGCTGTCACTGAGGTCGGAGCTCCCTGGCCGGCGCCAGAGGTCTTGGCTGCAGCCAGCCTAGAGCTCCCCAATCGCTGGGATCAGGGAGCTCTGCTGGGGCTGAACTCCTTGTCGTGCCGCCCATCTGCCTCCCCCTCACACACACACACTCTCCCGGCTGAGTCATGGTGCCCCTTACAGCGCTCCTACCATGGACGTTGCCGGAGCAGGGAGTCCCAGTTAAGGGAGGTACAACCTGTACATCCATCACTAAATATAAACGAGGGCAAGATCTTCAAGTCATTATTGAGGCAAAATCTTTCAGTGGGACTGGGTTGGGTTTTTTTAAATTTAAGATGAAATGATAAAGCAAAAAAATAATCTAACTTGTCTAAATGAAATAACTTGCTGCTATGGTGTTATGACTATACATTTTCCTTTTTTCTGTTATATTCTCTTTCTTAGTTGCCTTGATTGTAAAGATCTGCCATGTGAACACCTGATACAAATAACTCATAAAAACGTAAGTATACTATTCCAGTTTGCAGGACTTTTGCTTTTCTAAGCGTGGTAATCAGAGATTATTTTATAAATACATTTATGGGCAAAGATGAAGAGCAAAGCTGGTTTCATGGTATTCCTCATTGCAGTTACAAAGATACTTTCTTTTTTCCCCAGTTTTTGCAAGCATTAAAACATGGTTTAGCATTAAAGTCAATGGCTTTAGGTGTTTTGCTTGTAGTCTAAGTGGAAAATAAAAAGGCGTACTTACACAGAAGATGCAAAATAGTAAACATGTCACAAAGTTTCTCTTTTGTCTATGTTGTCCATGAGTGAATCTGCATGAAAGTTTATCCGGGTTCTACACAAGAAAATCCTTGTGTATTGCAAAAGTTTTTTACATCCCTGAATTGGGATCACATCCAATGTCTGGAGTAAAGACGGAGTAGATAGTACAGGATTTGGCTTATTATGCTTATTTTGGCACCAGCTATTTGTAACAGATGCTCTCCAAGGCCCCACAGTCCTATTCTAAATCCAGTGCAATCGATACAAGCTCTTCTATTCACTTCAAACAGCTTTTGATCTGATCTATAATGATCCTTTACTGATCTAAGCAGGAAGGGGAAAAAACAGATTGTAAAGCACAAAAAGAAGATGGAAAAGCATTGCACCAGCATAGCAGGAAGGTTTGATTTAATCGTGTTAGCTAGATTCTTTTGGGCTTTTTTTTTCCTTTCAGAAAACTGGTTTAAATTAATAAAGTGCATACAACAGTGCAGTCCTGGTTGTGTAGAAGTGCTGGGCTCCGTACACTTTGCCCTGATTTCTTTCACATTCTGCAATTTTTGATCACACAAGTCAGCAAGTGTTGATTAACCACAATAGTTTCCACCAGAAGAGGACTGGAGATGAGTTACATATAAGAAAACATCACGTCATGATCAAGATTATGTCAGACACAAAAAAGTAACTCCCAAAAGGACCAATGTAGTTTACAGGCATCCTGTTCTTGAGGTTTCCTTTCTGAGGCTCTTTGCAAGATGACTGATGTATCATTTGCAAAGCTGTGTGTCCTTGTTGGCACGTTTATGCAGAGGAGATATAACTTTTCTTTCATGTGGAAGGATCTCTGCAAACAGCAGCACTCTGTGTATTTAGGAATAGCTGACATGTGGGAGAATGTTGTCATTGTTTTCAGTGCTGGAGATGCATATCTGACTAAAGTTAAATGGGGATTCAGTAGTTGACAAGGCCAACAGATGGATCTTGAAATGGAGGTGTGTTTCAGTCTGACTGACTGAGAATGTGAAAATATCCTATTAGCTGAGCTTCTGCAGCTGCTCACCTGCCAGACTCACTGTTCCGGAGGCTCTGGTTTTGATTTTCCTCTCCATTTTTGAGCTGGCGTAGTACACTAAGCTGTTAGTACTGCAGTTTTTAACACCATTTTAGAGCACAATGGCATTTTTTTTAGATGACAGCATTTATGAGCTGTTCCAAAGGAGCTATTTGGCTTTTAACATGATTGGTCTTGGAAGAATTCTCTGGCTTAACAGTATCAGGGAAAAGGCACAGGAAATACAGATACTGAATTCTTGTTAAGGAAATGACAAGTGCCTGTGTTGTAATATTTTAACCATAGTGTGTAACTGACACCATTTATGAGCTGTTACTTATGACTGTAATCACACCCAGGCTCAGTGAGGCTTTCCATAGGACTCACATTTGTTTTCACATTCATTTGGTAAATGAGTTTGTAATGGGGTGCAAACAGGAGCGTATGGACAATAAATGAGGCTTTTACAAGGACTGATACTTTGCAAATATATACGCTATTACAAAACCAAATAATCAGAAGTCAAGCTAAACAGCAGCAGCCCATGTCAGAATGCAATGAAATAGGAGCTGTACGCTTTCCTGCTTTACCTATACAGCATTTTGATATTTGGGTTTCCTGGTAAAATTGTTTCCTTCTAGCCTCAACTTGTCTCTCTCTAGAGAGCCTACAATGTATTTTATGTTGGCATAGATATTTAGGATAGAAAATTGTGCTATCTAGCAACCCTTTTCCCCATGAACATGTCCCACACTGCAATGCCCATGTGACGTTTTTTGTTTGATAGTATACCATTTTTTGCTAAGAGGATATGTCTAGTTGGTGCATTAGCTGCCATGAGTTGCTGCTGTTCTGATAACCTGGAGACTGCTGAGTGATGTTCCATTGCCAAGTTGACGGCATTTGTCATGAATTCTTAAAGTGGGCCATGTGAAAGCTGCCATCTTCCACTCCCAAGGACAATCTGAGGTGCATTGGCATAAATGTTGTGAACATCTGCAATAGCACTTGGTAGCTGAATACTGTGCACCTGTAGGGAACAGATGCAGCCACATGCAATTTGTTAACATCTGATTCTAGCTGAACACAATGATGCTGGAACCCTTACGTTGACTCCAACACCCTGGCTACCTGTTCAGTCTAATATTGCTCCCCTGCTGATATGATGATCTGCTGAGACACTCCACAAGTTCAGAAGAATAGATGTTTTCCTATCCACAAAGACCTTGTCAACCCCACCTCCTCCAAATGTCCCGCAAGCCTTTCTGGGAACACTTCCTTAGCCTCATGCAATCAAGCTATGAAGAGAAGGAGACTTAGAAAGCTGATTGGATTAAACACCTTGTGCAAGATTCCATGCAGCAGGTTCCTGAGTTTGATCTTGGCCATCTTGGTCAACTCTGAACCCAATTTCAACCAACCATGGTAAATGGGGACATCTAAGGCACAAACTGAAAACAAAGGATTTTCTGGCACGTGAATATAGCTCCCCATGACAGACCATCAAACATATCACAACCAACTGCCCAAATTATAAATAGGATACAGGCATTGCTGTAGTAAATTATGCTATTCCTGTTGTAGCCATTTGGCTCAGTAACCTTCAGGAAAAACTGTAGTTGTTGCTCTACACCAGCCATATGAAAGAAGAAAATTTGCTCCCACTGGCAAGGTTGAGAGAGGGAATATTGCTTTTCTATTGTATAAGTTAGATACAGTCATTCCTTGGGTATGATTATTGCTAAGTGATAGCGTTCTTTATACTGTAGTATAGCATGACGGAGTGCAGCAAGAAACAGTCCTGGGAATGCAAAGAAGAAATGCAGGTTATCTAGCCATTTCTAATGCAGTCATGATGCTCAACCCTGCTGAAGCTGGAAGTCAATGGCAAAATACCCCTCAACTTTAATGGAAACAGGATGATTTAGCAACCTACGCAGTTATAAAAGCACCTCATACATGCATCACATTGTGGGGCTATGTAAAGAGCAAATCTGGAGCAGTTCCAAGTCATTGTTGAGTTTTGCACTTTGGCCAATTTGAGTCAGATTCTTCTCCCAGTACCAACTATTTCATGCCATAAAGCAATTGGAATCTGACCCTAACTGGCCAACTGAGCATTCTCATAGTATGAGGGAGCTCTCAGCTGACACTAATTTCCCCCTTCCCTTTAATATCAAGGGTTTAGCAGGGACTAAGAGGAGTAAATACCCTGTAGAGACTGTAAGAAGTATAGATATTATAATATGGAGGACATATAAGTACATAGCTGAGTCCTAGTCCCCAATTTGATTGATGTTGGCAAATCCATGTTTACTCAAAGGGCTCCATTTAAACCCGGGGGACTGGGGTTCTACACAGGCACTGGAGTCAGACTGCAGGATTAGAATCACATAGTGAACTGTTTTTTTCTGTTTTGTGATTAAGTTTACTGTTTTATTATTACACTGTTGTGAAATATATACCATGAAACATACAGAATCTGCTATGTTGCAGCAACAGGGGCACATTGCTCATTGAGTCAGTAAATGCAAAAACAAAAAAGGTTTCAGTAGCTATCTTAATGTTGTATTAACAGACACCTTTTCACTTTTATTTAATGATGAAAAGTAAGTAATAAAACACACAGCTCAAATTAAGGAAGTCTTAAAATGAACATTGGATCCTTGGCAAATGTGCCTACTGAATCCCTGGCAAAGAGGACAAAGCCTTTTAACACAAACCATTGTGCAGGTAAGCAAGACTATTTACTTATGTAAGAATTTTGTTCATGTTATTCTATGAGGGAATATTTGAATGGATCAAAATGCAAGTGAACTAAATAATTTTGGGTTATTACTTTAACAAAAATGTTTATAGCTATATACCATTAAGTCTACAAAACAGTAATTATATCACCCAAATCCCCATCTCTTGTTAATATACTATTATTAGTATTCAAAGATGGCCAAACTTCAAAATTCCACTGGAGCAGCAAAAGGTACCATTTTTCTGTGATCTGTATTTGTGATATTTCTGTCACATTTTGCACCAACACAAACACTTCTGAAATACATTAAACAGGAATATAATTAAAAATAAAACAATTGTTTTTAAATATCTGGTGAAATAAACCAGGCTGCCAGATTTTTACCTATTTTTACCAAAACAGAAACAGCATTCAGACCCAAGAACCAAAGCCAAAATTTTCAAACTAATGGTCCCCAAATTAAGTACTTTACCCCTGTTATCAGCTAAACAACACTTCCAATTTTCAGAAATTAAATCAATGGCAGCTGAAAGTGCTTAGCACAGACCTTCTGAAAAAACAAGCCATTCTTGTTTAGCTAACTAATTTGGCTACATCTAGACTACAAGCCTCTTTTGAAAGAGGCTTTTCTGAAAGAACCTTTCGAAAAAGCCTTTTTGGTTGCAGTCTAGACGCTATCTTTCGAAAGAGGCTTTTTCGAAAGATAGCATCTAGCCTGCAACCACTTCTTTTTTGAAAAAGTGAGCTGCTTTTCAAAAGAGAGCACTCAGGCAGTCTGGATGCTTTCTTTCGAAAAAACCCTGTTTGCATTCAAGAATGCCTTTTTTCGAAAGGGCACTTTTGAAAAAAAGGCATTCTTCCTCATTACATGACGTTTACCACGGTCGAAAAAGCCGCTGTGCTCTTTTGATTTAATTTAGAAAGAACTCAGCGG